CTCAAATAAAGCAAAGATATATAAAGAAAAAAAACCAAAAGCCACAAAAAAACACAAAAGTGCTAGGGACACTTTAGTCCTCCTCCCTCTAGTTCGAGGAAGTGAGCCGGTTAACAAATTAGTAAGGTGAGTATCATTGTCCGTAGTAACCAAAGTATCATCTATCAGATTACTGAGCTCAAGTAGATTTTCATTTTTCTTCTTCCTCCTGGATGTGTAAACCTACTGTGAGTATCATTGTCCGTAGTAACCAAAGTATCATCTATCAGATTACTGAGCTCAAGTAGATTTTCATTTTTCTTCTTCCTCCTGGATGTGTAAACCTACTATTCCTCATCCGATGATTGACTCATTTGATCAGTAGATTCCAAAGGTGGTTGGACAGTTGTAGGTCATTGCACATCATGATCCCCATGAGCCTGAGTAATACTAACATCTTTTTGGACCTGATGAGACAGTAGTGAAACAGTAGAAGTATTTTCACCTATATTATCAGTGATAGGTTCTAAGGCAAGCGGGGTCTGGAGAATCTCTCTTTCTCCCATGATAGGAGGTTCCAAAGACGGGTGAGCTACAACTGGCGACTGAATGGTTGACATATTGCCTAAACTATAGTAATATAAGTGAAAAGAAAGAAAAATGTATATTGGTTAAGCTTTTCATAAATTAATATAAATATTTGATATTTGATATTTTAAGAATATGATGTATTCAATGAATCTCACTATATCAATAACATATCTATATCATTTTATATTTGTACGACAGTCGCATTAACACCATCTAAAAATTGTACTAATTAAGGGTTATAATATCAATATCATTTTTCATTTACATACGCAAGTACATTAGCATATTGTATAAATGAAAATATGACAATAAGACGCAATAGAGAAAAAGGATTCATGTAGCGACCCCCACTTAGTAAGATAGACTTGTTTTTGTATGCACGAGTACCTTAGCGTTAGCTCATTAGTAGCATTATAAATTCACCAATACATGCTAGTAACTAAAAACATTCATAATAATATCACCAATAAAAAAAACATATAAATTAAAATAAAGTCTATATAAGTATTATCCACTACTGATGCAAAATAATTGAGAAAAACTAAAATATTATCATAGAATAAAAAAGAGAGTACTCACCTTGATGTCAAATAATTTGTTATTTGATTTGTTTTGACGTCAACTCCTCTAAAATGGAAAACATATAATTAGGGCTATCAAAACGGCTCGTTGTTCGCGAACAGCTCGTGTTCGGCTCGTTAAGAAGCTCGTGTTCGGCTCGTTAATTTTGTTCGATAAGTTAACGAGCC